CCAAATAGAGAGAAAAATAAGTGTTCAAAAAAGTCTACATTTTCCCATAGAAGTTTGACTTTTGACTGATTAATGTTGGATTTCATGCACAGAAGTATAGGCTGCACACAAGAAGGCCAAGCCCGACCCCACAAGCCACAGTCGCCTCAACCCCACAGTTAGTTGTCCTAGGAGGCATATGGGTCCCACCGGAGTACTCAACGGCGGCCACCACACGTGGTGACTCTCAGGCACCTGCCACCCTCTACGGCACCGCACATCCCAATTCCCAACACTTTTCTATGGGTCATGAATTCTTTGCCGCTCCACAACCACCTAATCACCTACCTTTCCACCACCAGCAATTCCACCTCTACAAGACACCACCGTCACTTTCACGGACACAACATTCCCGTGAGTCTGATGCTCGGAGAACTGGCGACCAGTCGGAGAGCATTGAGATTGGAAAGTCAGAGAGCGGTAGCTGGAGAGCAGATAGCGGAGTCGAAAATGGCGGAGAGAGAAAGGGAAGGGTGTTAAAGGAGGATGGAGAAGTTAGCAATGGAAGAAGTGATATCACTCTCAAGTTCTAACATTTCCTATATGATTGACGTTTAGATATAATTAAGATTGATATTATTAATTCACTTGATTCCTAAAAACTATTACTAGGCCAATAATTTGTTTGAGAATTTGTTAATTTTAATTAGATGTTAGTTTTCAAATGTATGTGTGCAAATATGGTTAACATGCCATCAATAAAGAATTAAGAGTACTTTTTTTTTGTTGCTTATGATATTACTAGATTGAGATGTGGGTTTTCCTTTTTATCACTCCCTCCATCCCACTATACCATTTTTTGTATGGTAGTTCATATACCATAATTGATAGTATTTGTTCTATTCTAACTGCATCACTCCTAGCGGCCTTCTTTTAGCAATCTTAGGGGAAAGCCGTATTATTATTTTTATGTTTCTTTTTCTATCTTTTGAGAGAACGGTTGTGACTCTATGAGTTTGACACTTCATACTACGTGTTATTTATCCACTCGATCTCTAACAAATTGTTCTATAAGAAAAATTACCTATATTGTAATAGATTAAATCAAGGATCTTATACACTCCTAAACCTCAACCAATCGTAATTCTTATCGATCAGACATAAAAACGACCAACCATAAATAAACATGTTCAATTGCTGATCACTCTTGAAATAAAGAAGATTCTTTAGAATTTCGAAGTCCACTTAATACTAACAATCAATATATGGCTCTTAGAAAAAATAAATTAAAACAAAACATTGACCAAATCCGGAAGCGGAAAAAAGATAAAAACTCGAATTGAACATAACCAAACTTTAAAAGCAAAATTAAGAATTGAATTGAAACATTCCTGCACATTGCCTACAACTGAATGCGCCGTTACAACTGATAAATTAAAGGAATTGGTGAATCAAATGGGAAGGAAAAGGAGTGTATTTATACGTGTTTGGAGGTTGCAGGGTCATTTACCCGACCGGGTTTTTGAAATACCCGATCGGGATTTCTGAGCAATTGCCCGAAATCTTCATTTGTCACATCATACCCGATCGGGTTTTTTATTTACCCGATCGGGTAAAAGACAAATCTTTGCCAAATGTAGGGAAAACACCAAATTTCATTAAGGAGCTTGCTTCCTTGTCAAAAAATGGCCAGTTGAGAGCTCCATATTTAAGTGTTTTGAAGCCCTCTCAACACACCATTCCATATTCTACATTCTACACTCTACACTTACACCTTAGCATCTCAAGAGCAACCCCTTGATCTTGGGAGAAGTTCTTCATTTGGGGAAGCCATTATCCACTATAGCTTTGGAGTTGTGGTATTAATATCTTATGTATTTCATTGTATTTTATCATTTCAATACTTGTAATTCCATTATGAATTGTTCTAGCTAATTTTCCATAGCCAAGGTTAGCGATGAAATTTTACGCACTCTAGGTGTATGTTTGATGTATGTTCTCAACCAAATTATTATGATCTTTCCTTTATATTCTTAATGTGTATGACTACGGTGTACAACATATATGATTATATCGTTGGGTTTATTTGAGAAATTAACATTGAGTTATAAACCGTGCACTTAAGGGTTAGACATATTTTAATTGTGGATAGAAATATACCTCAATTGAATATGATGGTTTTTATAATGTCCTAATCTTCAATGGGGTTAATTTTAGATGAATGTGAAACATGACAGGATTCACACGTAGAATTAATCACAATTTCGCTACCATAACATGAGTTAGAATACTTTAGCGACATTCCACTCATAAGAATTGGTGATAACATTTATTCATCGCTAGGAGTCGTTTAGGAGTAATCCCGAGCCCTTGGTTGCTTTTAGTATCACTTGAAAACCAAAAATATCTACTCTTTTCATAAACCTTTTACTAAAACCATTTCCGAATTTGAATCATATAAACAACGTTTCCTTGTGTTCGACTCGGTATTTTTGCCGATTTTTATTACTACATCGACACTTGTACACTTGCAAGTTTTAGCCGATCAAGAGACTAATAGTAATTATACACAAATGGAAAAACCCGCACTGATTTTATGAGTATTGTAACACCGTCCCCAAATGTATTTACTTTTAAAGTGAATATTGTATTTTAACCTTATGGAATGGTTGACGGATTTACGAGGTTATGAATTTTTATTAATTTTTGCGTGAATAGTAAGTTCGCGCGTGGGGCCCGCACCGGGAGCGGGGGCCGCCCGATATTCCCGGGACCACGTAAATTATTCATCTTGGTCTAGATAATATTTATATGGGGGTGGATAATTCTTTTGAACCATGGAAAGGTCTTGAGTTGACCGATTGGTCAAAAGAGGCCCAAATACCGGTATTGGCAATCTAACCGATAAAAGCCCAAAATTGGATTTCGGAGACCTATAAATTTAAGTTGGGAAATGTATATTCATTTTAAGGGTCATAATGATTGGGAACATGTAATATATCTTATTTGACCCGATAAAATAAAATATATTTAAAACTGTCCGAAAAATACAACTTTCGGGACAAAGTGTACACTTCTGGACAAAAGGGGTTGACCTCCCACATGGGTGGGGGCCAACCCACGAATTTAGCCACACAAATTGAGGCATGGGGCTGCTGAATGGAGAGGAGGAAGATGGGTAGAAGTTGGGTTGACTTGAGAGGCATCTAAAGGACAAAGGTGGGTCTCTCAACCCACACATAATTGCTTATTGAGACAAAAAGCCAACCCCAACCCCTCTCTCCCCTATTCTCGGCCAGCACCAACCCCAGCAAGGGAAGAAAAGATCTCCATCCTCCTCTCCCCATCCTTGAAGAGAGCTCAAACAATAGAGGTCCAAGAGGGAAGATTTAAGAGAGAAAAAGCTAGGAAAAGTGAGAAAGATTAAGGTAATGACCTTATATTAACTTTTCCTTTATTTTTCTTCTATCATTTGAGATATATATCATGTGAAGAACATTGAGGATTGTTCCACATGAGTTAGTGTAGAATGATGGGTTGGAAGGGGGTTCTAAGTCCAAAAACGGACCTAGGAGCCAAACCGACAAGTTCACCGGAAAATAACCTTTTAGAGGTTATTCGTATTGATTAAGGTTTTATGATGTTAAAACCTTGTTAGGAACTTGATTAAAGTACTTTGGAGCTTCGCCGGAGTTTCGCCGGAGTTGGTCAAAGTTGGCCGGAGTTGGTCAAAGTTCACCGGAAATAGTCAAAGTTCAACCGCGGAGCGTAGAACACGCTTAAGCTCACTTAAGGTGAGGATGACCGACTATATTGCTTATAATTATTGGGTTAATTTCATAAGATTACCTAAATGAATTATATGTGTTTGGCATGATTTATTTATAATATAAAAAAATGCCTAAATGAGATTATTATTGTTTATAAGTAAAAGTGCATAATATACAAATTTATGATTAAATTGTGTATGATTATGTATTATGAATACAATGGTATAATAGCGTGTAAACTATAAATGAATTGTGATAAATATACTTTTACCTCATGTAAGGAAGTCATGGAAGGATAAAAGTGATATTTTGATATTAGAACCAAGTTATACTTGAATGTGGAATTAAATTGAAATAGCCAAATTACTATGAAATTGCATTGGCTTATTAAGGTTAAATGACTAGTATAGAAATACTAGCCGGGGATGTTAGCATGAAAAGTGATAGAACAAATCCTAGGGGTTTGGATTGTGAAAGATGTACCTTAAGTAGTCATATGAAATGTCTTAAGGTAGAAATGAGTAAACGCTAAGTTACCGTAGGAGTGGATCTTGAAGGTTACTCATAGTAGAGGAACTCTAGGCATAGAGATTGCTTAGTGAATTAGTATCGTGACTAGAGGAAGCCTCGAGCACGATGAAGAATGACTGGAGGAAGCCTCCAGCATTCGTGTAGGACGACTAGAGGAAGCCTCTAGCGTAACGTAATGTGACTAGAGGAAGCCTCCAGCACAACGTATGTAAGGTGATTAGAGGAAGCCTCTAACACCAAGTGGAGTGACTAGAGTCAGCCTCTAGCACGATAAAACATGACTAGAGAAAGCCTCTAGCATGGTAAACTAATATAGATGGGTGTGGCTTGAAGTCACGGGGAAAGGGTTAAATGTTTCCAAAGTAAACATGGGCCTTCGGGCGATTACTTGACTATATATGTGACACCGCACCCGAACGTCCTTGAAAAACTCAATAAAAAAAAAAAAAAAATTAATTTCTATGTATTGAATTTTCGGTTTCCAAACAATTGTAAAACGATTATTGTTTTACGTAGCGCATGATTGATTTTTGTATTGTTCAAACTCGTATATTAGTATCGGGTTTGCAAATACTTATTTGGGCCTTAATAATGAACATAAGAGCCCAACATTATCTAAATAATGTTACATAATCTTTCAAGACAATTTGAGGAAGGTCGGGCGGCCCAAACATTAATTTGGGCCCAACCTGCTAAAAATAGCAAGTATTCGAGAATGGCGTCCTAGACCCACTCGGGAGTGACCCACACGGTTAGTAGCCCAATAATATGTATGAAAAATGTCAAAATAAGTGATAGAATGACTAAGGAAGAATACAAATGCCTATAGCCCCATCTTTGACATTATTGAGCTAAATAATGGGAGTAGGTTTTTCTTCTATAGTATTCATCATGTAAATTATTGGGATGATCCTACACATGGTTGAGACCAATAAAATGATGTAGGGAGTTGACTTGGTCTATATAAATTATAAGGAGTACAAAAAGACATCTCATGACAAGGATAAAACAATAGGGTCCATCTTTTCATTTTGGAAGTATTGGTAGGTATTTTGGACCCCAAATTGAATGGGATCATTTGGGAACCATCCCACATGACCTTGGTACCTGCAAGACAAAGAAAAATGGGTGAGACAACTATGTGGGGCGGACATTTGACTTGAGAGCTACAACATTACAAAAAGGAAATAAAAGAGGAGGTCCACACCATGTTTAATTGCAATCAAACACCCTACCCTTTCTTTTTGTGAACCACATGCTTAGATATCATTTTGAGAGCTCCTAAACACCTCCCCCTCACCCCTCATTCGAACTCCCAAGGATAAGGGAGAAGGAGAGAGCCACACAACCAAGAGAGCAAGAGAAAGGGGAAGCTGCCGCAGGTCCATTTTCCAGTGCGTTGGGTTGCTTGTTTGGTTCATATCTCGAGCTATACTTATCCAAATAAGGCGTGTGAGGTGCCCAAAGAAAGATCTCAAGAAGAGGAATCCGTGAAGGCGTGGTTTGCAGAAAACGGAGTAGTGGAAGACCTCCAAATCGTCCGAACAAAACGCAACCTCGCAGATTACGTTTTTGTATTCAAAGTAAGTTTGAATCCAAAACCTTCCTCTCTATTGTCTAAATCATATGGATGATTGAAGAGCTATTATAAACTTGTTGAAGTGTATAATATGTTATTATATAGTGACTTTATTTGTTGGAAAGGTTAGATACTAACCTAGACAAAACCTTGAAAGGCTAGGGAACGAATTCGCCGGAAAAGCGCCCGTTCTAGGGGCTGTTTTTGTATCGACATTTAGGGGTTGAGATAGCACTTTGAAGAGGCTGTTTAACAATCATATTTAAGCAAGGAATCAGTTCTTAACCCACCTTGACCGAAGCTTTGACCATTGGATCAAGAAGGAAGAGTTTAAAGCTCAATTGAGGTGAGGATCGACATCTAATTGCTTACAACTTGTAGGTTAAGCATGAGATTACCTAAATGCCTAAATCATAATTTTTCATGGATTATGATGATTAAATATTGATGAAATATTGATATGGTTCCCAAAGAATGAAATTGGAAATGATTTGAGGATGTATGTATAATATGAGATTAAATGAGTTATAAATGAACTATTTTGTGAAATAGGAATTTTACTCATGTATTAAACATGTGGATACATAAATGGATATTATGTATTGAAGTGGAATATTTAAGTTGATGCTACATACTTATAAATATGTAGAGAATTACAAAATGAAGATATTTGTATAATGGCAATAATCTTAATAGTATTGAAAATACTAATTAGTGATTATTTGAAATTGTTGATAGAATTGATCCTAAGTATTGGATTGTATGGAATGAACTTGAATGTACTTCAAGTGTATAAAATGACTTAGTATGAAACTAAGGGCATGTTATGGGCGGTCATTGAGAATGACCCGAGGTAGATTATTGAGATGTCAATTCTAGGCATAGGGTTGCTTAGGAATTGGACTATAATGAAGAATTAGAGCCGGACTTTGTGATTTGCATGGAAATGTAGTTGGTCCGAGACCTTGCCATGTAAATTGTGATTTGCATAGAAATGTAGTTGGTCCGAGACCTTGCTATGCAAATGTGATAGGATGTAATTGCGATTTGCATGGAAATGTAGTTGGTCCGAGACCTTGCCATGTAAATTGTGATTTGCATAGAAATGTAGTTGGTCTGAGACCTTGCTATGCAAATGTGATAGAATGTAAATTGTGATTTGCATAGAAATGTAGTTGGTCCGAGACCTTGCTATGCAAATGTGATAGGACGCAAATGTAATATAACGAACTTGACATAAAGGATTGCATAGAAATGTAGTTGGGCCGAGCCCTTGCTATGCGATGGTAATGTAATGAACTCTATGAATTGTCGTGGCTCATGGTCACGGGGAATGGGAATGGCGATTTCTAAATGAACATGGGCCCACGGGCCGACTACTTGACTTTTATATAAAGTAAGTATATTTTCAAACGAGGTAACTTGGGGTTACCACTATATTGTATTATCACCCTATTTGAGGGTCTTGTGTTTGAAATACTTGTTGTATATCCCTTAGATGCCATCCACACCAGCACTTTATAGCCCTATAGAGTGCTGACCCCTTCGGGGGCGTCCCACCACCATTTTTCAGGTTGAGGCTAGAGCTTGCTTCCTGTGCCCGTTGCTCGGGTGATCCTTTGGAGAGAAGACGTGGTTCGTGCTTTCTCCATTCCGTTTTGAACAATATTAAACATGCTCATGGATATTTTACTTTAGAGCCTGCGTGCTCATGAATAGCCCTGTGTGGCCCTTTTGTTTTAAACAATGTTTTCCGCTGCGTTATGAATTACTTATTATGTTTGTTTATGGATGTTATACGTGTGAATGATATTCAAGACGCCTTGTATAATATGAATGTGTTGGACTGCGGTTGACTATTCGTATTGTACGGCGGGTTGTTGACGTGTCCGGGGAGGTCCGGGGCGTGACAATTAAGTTGGTATCAGAGCCTTAGTCCATAAACTTCATAATGAAGTCTCAAAATTCTCTTTTTGAAAAGATTTTGAAAACCATGAGCATAGAAGTTTTGTACTTGGAGAGCTTTTGGTATTTGGGTTGCAAGGTCTCTAATTGTTAAGATGGTACCCTTAGCAATTGGTATGGCGGTGACTCGAGCCAAAATGTGTCTTAAGTACCTATCCGTCAATTGACATTTCATGCGAGTCTAACGACTCTTTCCAAAATTCTTTCAGAAATGGACCGTGGTGGCAGGATTACTAGGAGGAACCCGACCGGCCGTGTACCAGTGGAGACTGGACAGGGCAGTCGAAGGACCTCTAGGGAATCTAGAGGGGCTGGCCGTGGAGGCCGATCACAGACCGTGAGTGACGGTCATGTCGACACAGAAAGTGAAACCTACTGGTCCTATGAGGACTCGACTTACCAACCGGAAACCGAGCCGGTTGAGACCCCTTACGAAGGGGATGACGATGATGTGAGTGATGAAGAAGGGGAGAATGACTCCCTAGCAAGAATTGAGGCGCTGCTCCAGCAATATCAGCGGGAGCGGGAGGAAAGGAGGGAACGCCGAAGGCGCCGAGGAGGGCGAACTTCGGGAGGGGCTTCAAGGGGAAGAAGCCATGGCGACTCTAGGGCCCACGTTGAACCACGTGGGGGCCGGGGTGATGGAGGTCCAATCATAAGGATCTCCAAGTACATCAAAGAGGCACGAGACTTGGGGTGCAAACCGTTCGATGGAACGGGTGACATCTCCATTTCGGCGCAGTGGATCAAGAGGCTGAATGAGGCGGCCCTGGACATGCAACTCACCCCCGAATATAAGCTAAGGGTTGCGGTGAGGTTACTTGAAGGTATGGCGTCCAAGTGGTGGGATGGGACCAAAAGCAAATATGGTGAGACCGTCACTTGGGAGAATTTCCGAGAGGAATTCTTCGCACAATACTACTCGGATTTCGAGGTGAACAAGAAGGTGAGGGAATACACCCTTCTAACCCAAGGGGGTAACATGACGGTGAGGGAACTTGAGTTCAAGTTCAGGGATCTTGCCGACTACATACCTGAGTATGCTTGTGATGAGAATCGGATGGTGAACCACTTCTGGGATGCTCTAGACTTGGAAATACGCGATAGGGCAACACAATTGCCAAACATGACGTTTGCTCAAGTGGTTGACCAAGGGTTGAAAGGGGAGAAACAGTGGGAGGAGAGGAAGAGGAGAGATGCCGAAGAGGCGAAAAAGAGAAAGGGGGAGAGTCATGGCCCTCAAGGTTCCAATAAAAAGGGAAACCATGGAGGAGGATCTTTCCGAACACCACCGCCCCCACCTAAGGGGAACCAAGGCCCGAATGGACAAGGATCACGGACCTCGGGGGTAGCTCGGTGCAATAATTGCAAAAGGAGCCACTTTGGCAAGTGTCGTGACCCTCCTAAATGCTTCCAATGTGGGGATGCCGGGCATTTGAAGATGAATTGCCCACAATTGGGTGGGTCAAGGTCATCGGGACCAAGTAGCGGGGCTACGGGAACAAAAAACCAAGCCCGGGGTTCCCAATTAACAAGGGGACATGGGGGAGCAAACACGAGCAACGCGCCATCCATGAACCAAGGGAGGACCCAGGCTAGGGTCTATGCGATGACGGAGGCGGATGCTCAAGCTAACCCGGACTCCGTCGCAGGTATTGCCTCTCATATACTAGTGTTTTATCCTTAATTAGTCCATAAATTGAGGATACTAATCGCTAGGATCATTGCACGAGGTTTTGGGGTCGAACCGGGGGATTTCGGGCAACTTCAGGCGGCTGGGACCCAGGCACGATCGTGCCTAAGGCAGACACGATCGTGCCTCCAAGTCAGTAGCTGCCCAGGAATATTCCCAGCCCAGGCACGATCGTGCCTAAGGCAGACACGATCGTGCCTACAAGGCAGTAACTGCCCAGGGCTTTTCTCCAAACCAGGCACGATCGTGCCTAAGGCAGACACGATCGTGCCTCCAAGTCAGTGGTTCCCAGGATTTTTCCAACCCAGGCACGATCGTGCCTAAGGCAGACACGATCGTGCCTCCAAGGCAGTAGCCCCAGGGCGTTTTCCTGAGCCAGGCACGATCGTGCCTACCCCGGGCACGCCGTGCCTGGCACCCAGATTGCCGAAACCCGATTTTTTCGCATCGTTTTGCGACGTTAAGGCCTCTTCTTGATCCCTAACGTGCGTGTGAACATTGCAACCTTCTATAAATAAGTAGGGAGGGTAGGAAAGATGCCTTACATGGTTCATGAATGTAGGGACACTAAAGATTAACGGGAAGGATGCACGAATCCTTATCGATACCGGAGCGCAACGTTCATTCGTGAGTGAGGCGTTTGCCGAGAGCTTAGAGATGCAATCAATACCAATGACACAAACCTTAGTGGTATCAGCCCCACTAGGGGAAGACGTTGAAAGAAACAATTACTATCCATCTTGTATGGTGGAAATCGGTGGCCAAACCTTGACGTGTGATTTCGTACCGCTGAGTATGATGGAGTTCGATGCAATCCTAGGGATGGATTGGCTAGAAAAGCATCATGCTAGGGTAGATTGCTACACAAAGGTGTTGGAACTCGAAGGCACACAGGGGGACACCCTACGCTTCGAGGGGGACCGCGGCAAATCAAATAGTTGTATCATATCCGCCGTGAGAGCGAGAAATATGATGAGAAAAGGATGCCACGCATATCTAGCATACGTGGTTGATAAAACCAAAGAGGAAACGAACATCGATGATGTGAGGGTGGTTTGTAAATATCCGGATGTCTTCCCTAAAGACCTACCGGGGCTTCCACCTGACAGGGAGATTGAATTTGTGATCGAGGTCGAGCCTGGTACCAAACAAATCTCCATACCGCCATACCGTATGGCACCCGCTGAACTTAACGAGTTGAAAACCCAATTGCAAGAGCTTTTGGATAATGGTTTCATTAGACCCAGCCACTCCCCGTGGGGAGCACCAGTTCTTTTTGTGAAAAAGAAAGACGGGACGCTTCGAATGTGCATTGACTATCGTCAACTGAATAAGGTCACAATCAAGAATAGGTATCCGTTGCCTAGGATTGATGACCTGTTTGATCAACTACGAGGAGCAACCGTGTTTTCAAAGATTGACTTGAGATCGGGGTACCATCAATTGAAGATTAAGGAAGATGACATACCAAAGAGTGCTTTCCGCACAAGGTATGGGCATTTCGAGTTCCTCGTTATGTCGTTTGGGTTAACAAACGCCCCAGCGGCATTCATGGACTTGATGAACCGAGTATTCCATAAATACTTGGATCGATTCGTGAATGTGTTCATAGACGACATCTTGATTTACTCAAAGAGTGAAGAAGAGCATGAGGAGCACTTGATACTTGTTCTTGAGACACTACGGGAGAAGCAACTCTATGCCAAATTTTCTAAATGTAAATTTTGGCTAAAGGAGATTGGCTTCCTCGGGCACGTGGTTTCAGGATCGGGAATTGCTGTTGATAACAAGAAGATAGAAGCCATTACTGAATGGGAGAGGCCAAAGAACGTCAAGGAAATTCGTAGTTTCCTTGGATTGGCAGGCTACTATAGAAAGTTCGTGGAGAAGTTCTCTGTTTTGGCATCGCCATTGACGAAGCTCACTCGTAAAGGAGCTAAGTTTGTATGGGATGACAAATGTGAGAAAGGGTTCATGGAACTAAATAAGAGATTGACTGAGGCACCGGTACTTGCATTACCCAAACAAGGTGTGGGGTACGATGTCTATAGCGATGCGAGCATCCAAGGGCTCGGATGTGTACTGATGCAGAATGGGAGGGTAATCGCCTATGCTTCACGACAATTGAAGAAGCATGAGGTAAACTATCCTACTCATGATTTAGAGCTGGAAGCAGTGGTGTTTGCATTGAAGATTTGGAGACACTATCCCTACGGAGAGCCGTGTCACATATACGCTGATCATAAGAGCTTGAAATACGTGTGTACTCAAAGGGGTTAAACATGAGACGACGACGGTGGATGGAGTTGATAAAGGACTACCATCTAGTTAGTGAGTACCATCCAGGTAAGGCAAACGTTGTAGCAGATGCCCTCAGTCAGAAGAGTTCGTCTGAGGCATTGCTGACTAGTTTGAGGGCATTGAGAGCCCAATTGGATGTATATCCGCCTGTAGAGGTACGTGAGGATGTGAACTACGCTGTGCAACCGATTAAGGTCATTGATAGAAAGGTGAAGAAACTGAGGAGTAAAGAAGTCCCAATGGTTAAAGTCCTTGGAAGAGCGATCGCGTCGAATAAGAGACATAGGAAATAGAGGCTTTGATGAGGGAGTAGTATGCTTCCCTATTTGAGTAGAGTTGCGAATTTCGGGGACGAAATTCCTGTTAAGGGGGGGTGAACTTGTGACACCGCACCCGAACGTCCTTGAAAAACTCAATAAAAAAAAAAAAATTAATTTCTATGTATTGAATTTTCGGTTTCCAAACAATTGTAAAACGATTAATGTTTTACGTAGCGCATGATTGATTTTTGTATTGTTCAAACTCGTATATTAGTATCGGGTTTGCAAATACTTATTTGGGCCTTAATAATGAACATAAGAGCCCAACATTATCTAAATAATGTTACATAATCTTTCAAGACAATTTGAGGAAGGTCGGGCGGCCCAAACATTAATTTGGGCCCAACCTGCTAAAAATAGCAAGTATTCGAGAATGGCGTCCTAGACCCACTCGGGAGTGACCCACACGGTTAGTAGCCCAATAATATGTATGAAAAATGTCAAAATAAGTGATAGAATGACTAAGGAAGAATACAAATGCCTATAGCCCCATCTTTGACATTATTGAGCTAAATAATGGGAGTAGGTTTTTCTTCTATAGTATTCATCATGTAAATTATTGGGATGATCCTACACATGGTTGAGACCAATAAAATGATGTAGGGAGTTGACTTGGTCTATATAAATTATAAGGAGTACAAAAAGACATCTCATGACAAGGATAAAACAATAGGGTCCATCTTTTCATTTTGGAAGTATTGGTAGGTATTTTGGACCCCAAATTGAATGGGATCATTTGGGAACCATCCCACATGACCTTGGTACCTGCAAGACAAAGAAAAATGGGTGAGACAACTATGTGGGGCGGACATTTGACTTGAGAGCTACAACATTACAAAAAGGAAATAAAAGAGGAGGTCCACACCATGTTTAATTGCAATCAAACACCCTACCCTTTCTTTTTGTGAACCACATGCTTAGATATCATTTTGAGAGCTCCTAAACACCTCCCCCTCACCCCTCATTCGAACTCCCAAGGATAAGGGAGAAGGAGAGAGCCACACAACCAAGAGAGCAAGAGAAAGGGGAAGCTGCCGCAGGTCCATTTTCCAGTGCGTTGGGTTGCTTGTTTGGTTCATATCTCGAGCTATACTTATCCAAATAAGGCGTGTGAGGTGCCCAAAGAAAGATCTCAAGAAGAGGAATCCGTGAAGGCGTGGTTTGCAGAAAACGGAGTAGTGGAAGACCTCCAAATCGTCCGAACAAAACGCAACCTCGCAGATTACGTTTTTGTATTCAAAGTAAGTTTGAATCCAAAACCTTCCTCTCTATTGTCTAAATCATATGGATGATTGAAGAGCTATTATAAACTTGTTGAAGTGTATAATATGTTATTATATAGTGACTTTATTTGTTGGAAAGGTTAGATACTAACCTAGACAAAACCTTGAAAGGCTAGGGAACGAATTCGCCGGAAAAGCGCCCGTTCTAGGGGCTGTTTTTGTATCGACATTTAGGGGTTGAGATAGCACTTTGAAGAGGCTGTTTAACAATCATATTTAAGCAAGGAATCAGTTCTTAACCCACCTTGACCGAAGCTTTGACCATTGGATCAAGAAGGAAGAGTTTAAAGCTCAATTGAGGTGAGGATCGACATCTAATTGCTTACAACTTGTAGGTTAAGCATGAGATTACCTAAATGCCTAAATCATAATTTTTCATGGATTATGATGATTAAATATTGATGAAATATTGATATGGTTCCCAAAGAATGAAATTGGAAATGATTTGAGGATGTATGTATAATATGAGATTAAATGAGTTATAAATGAACTATTTTGTGAAATAGGAATTTTACTCATGTATTAAACATGTGGATACATAAATGGATATTATGTATTGAAGTGGAATATTTAAGTTGATGCTACATACTTATAAATATGTAGAGAATTACAAAATGAAGATATTTGTATAATGGCAATAATCTTAATAGTATTGAAAATACTAATTAGTGATTATTTGAAATTGTTGATAGAATTGATCCTAAGTATTGGATTGTATGGAATGAACTTGAATGTACTTCAAGTGTATAAAATGACTTAGTATGAAACTAAGGGCATGTTATGGGCGGTCATTGAGAATGACCCGAGGTAGATTATTGAGATGTCAATTCTAGGCATAGGGTTGCTTAGGAATTGGACTATAATGAAGAATTAGAGCCGGACTTTGTGATTTGCATGGAAATGTAGTTGGTCCGAGACCTTGCCATGTAAATTGTGATTTGCATAGAAATGTAGTTGGTCCGAGACCTTGCTATGCAAATGTGATAGGATGTAATTGCGATTTGCATGGAAATGTAGTTGGTCCGAGACCTTGCCATGTAAATTGTGATTTGCATAGAAATGTAGTTGGTCTGAGACCTTGCTATGCAAATGTGATAGAATGTAAATTGTGATTTGCATAGAAATGTAGTTGGTCCGAGACCTTGCTATGCAAAATGTGATAGGACGCAAATGTAATATAACGAACTTGACATAAAGGATTGCATAGAAATGTAGTTGGGCCGAGCCCTTGCTATGCGATGGTAATGTAATGAACTCTATGAATTGTCGTGGCTCATGGTCACGGGGAATGGGAATGGCGATTTCTAAATGAACATGGGCCCACGGGCCGACTACTTGACTTTTATATAAAGTAAGTATATTTTCAAACGAGGTAACTTGGGGTTACCACTATATTGTATTATCACCCTATTTGAGGGTCTTGTGTTTGAAATACTTGTTGTATATCCCTTAGATGCCATCCACACCAGCACTTTATAGCCCTATAGAGTGCTGACCCCTTCGGGGGCGTCCCACCACCATTTTTCAGGTTGAGGCTAGAGCTTGCTTCCTGTGCCCGTTGCTCGGGTGATCCTTTGGAGAGAAGACGTGGTTCGTGCTTTCTCCATTCCGTTTTGAACAATATTAAACATGCTCATGGATATTTTACTTTAGAGCCTGCGTGCTCATGAATAGCCCTGTGTGGCCCTTTTGTTTTAAACAATGTTTTCCGCTGCGTTATGAATTACTTATTATGTTTGTTTATGGATGTTATACGTGTGAATGATATTCAAGACGCCTTGTATAATATGAATGTGTTGGACTGCGGTTGACTATTCGTATTGTACGGCGGGTTGTTGACGTGTCCGGGGAGGTCCGGGGCGTGACAATTAAGTTGGTATCAGAGCCTTAGTCCATAAACTTCATAATGAAGTCTCAAAATTCTCTTTTTGAAAAGATTTTGAAAACCATGAGCATAGAAGTTTTGTACTTGGAGAGCTTTTGGTATTTGGGTTGCAAGGTCTCTAATTGTTAAGATGGTACCCTTAGCAATTGGTATGGCGGTGACTCGAGCCAAAATGTGTCTTAAGTACCTATCCGTCAATTGACATTTCATGCGAGTCTAACGACTCTTTCCAAAATTCTTTCAGAAATGGACCGTGGTGGCAGGATTACTAGGAGGAACCCGACCGGCCGTGTACCAGTGGAGACTGGACAGGGCAGTCGAAGGACCTCTAGGGAATCTAGAGGGGCTGGCCGTGGAGGCCGATCACAGACCGTGAGTGACGGTCATGTCGACACAGAAAGTGAAACCTACTGGTCCTATGAGGACTCGACTTACCAACCGGAAACCGAGCCGGTTGAGACCCCTTACGAAGGGGATGACGATGATGTGAGTGATGAAGAAGGGGAGAATGACTCCCTAGCAAGAATTGAGGCGCTGCTCCAGCAATATCAGCGGGAGCGGGAGGAAAGGAGGGAACGCCGAAGGCGCCGAGGAGGGCGAACTTCGGGAGGGGCTTCAAGGGGAAGAAGCCATGGCGACTCTAGGGCCCACGTTGAACCACGTGGGGGCCGGGGTGATGGAGGTCCAATCATAAGGATCTCCAAGTACATCAAAGAGGCACGAGACTTGGGGTGCAAACCGTTCGATGGAACGGGTGACATCTCCATTTCGGCGCAGTGGATCAAGAGGCTGAATGAGGCGGCCCTGGACATGCAACTCACCCCCGAATATAAGCTAAGGGTTGCGGTGAGGTTACTTGAAGGTATGGCGTCCAAGTGGTGGGATGGGACCAAAAGCAAATATGGTGAGACCGTCACTTGGGAGAATTTCCGAGAGGAATTCTTCGCACAATACTACTCGGATTTCGAGGTGAACAAGAAGGTGAGGGAATACACCCTTCTAACCCAAGGGGGTAACATGACGGTGAGGGAACTTGAGTTCAAGTTCAGGGATCTTGCCGACTACATACCTGAGTATGCTTGTGATGAGAATCGGATGGTGAACCACTTCTGGGATGCTCTAGACTTGGAAATACGCGATAGGGCAACACAATTGCCAAACATGACGTTTGCTCAAGTGGTTGACCAAGGGTTGAAAGGGGAGAAACAGTGGGAGGAGAGGAAGAGGAGAGATGCCGAAGAGGCGAAAAAGAGAAAGGGGGAGAGTCATGGCCCTCAAGGTTCCAATAAAAAGGGAAACCATGGAGGAGGATCTTTCCGAACACCACCGCCCCCACCTAAGGGGAACCAAGGCCCGAATGGACAAGGATCACGGACCTCGGGGGTAGCTCGGTGCAATAATTGCAAAAGGAGCCACTTTGGCAAGTGTCGTGACCCTCCTAAATGCTTCCAATGTGGGGATGCCGGGCATTTGAAGATGAATTGCCCACAATTGGGTGGGTCAAGGTCATCGGGACCAAGTAGCGGGGCTACGGGAACAAAAAACCAAGCCCGGGGTTCCCAATTAACAAGGGGACATGGGGGAGCAAACACGAGCAACGCGCCATCCATGAACCAAGGGAGGACCCAGGCTAGGGTCTATGCGATGACGGAGGCGGATGCTCAAGCTAACCCGGACTCCGTCGCAGGTATTGCCTCTCATATACTAGTGTTTTATCCTTAATTAGTCCATAAATTGAGGATACTAATCGCTAGGATCATTGCACGAGGTTTTGGGGTCGAACCGGGGGATTTCGGGCAACTTCAGGCGGCTGGGACCCAGGCACGATCGTGCCTAAGGCAGACACGATCGTGCCTCCAAGTCAGTAGCTGCCCAGGAATATTCCCAGCCCAGGCACGATCGTGCCTAAGGCAGACACGATCGTGCCTACAAGGCAGTAACTGCCCAGGGCTTTTCTCCAAACCAGGCACGATCGTGCCTAAGGCAGACACGATCGTGCCTCCAAGTCAGTGGTTCCCAGGATTTTTCCAACCCAGGCACGATCGTGCCTAAGGCAGACACGATCGTGCCTCCAAGGCAGTAGCCCCAGGGCGTTTTCCTGAGCCAGGCACGATCGTGCCTACCCCGGGCACGCCGTGCCTGGCACCCAGATTGCCGAAACCCGATTTTTTCGCATCGTTTTGCGACGTTAAGGCCTCTTCTTGATCCCTAACGTGCGTGTGAACATTGCAACCTTCTATAAATAAGTAGGGAGGGTAGGAAAGATGCCTTACATGGTTCATGAATGTAGGGACACTAAAGATTAACGGGAAGGATGCACGAATCCTTATCGATACCGGAGCGCAACGTTCATTCGTGAGTGAGGCGTTTGCCGAGAGCTTAGAGATGCAATCAATACCAATGACACAAACCTTAGTGGTATCAGCCCCACTAGGGGAAGACGTTGAAAGAAACAATTACTATCCATCTTGTATGGTGGAAATCGGTGGCCAAACCTTGACGTGTGATTTCGTACCGCTGAGTATGATGGAGTTCGATGCAATCCTAGGGATGGATTGGCTAGAAAAGCATCATGCTAGGGTAGATTGCTACACAAAGGTGTTGGAACTCGAAGGCACACAGGGGGACACCCTACGCTTCGAGGGGGACCGCGGCAAATCAAATAGTTGTATCATATCCGCCGTGAGAGCGAGAAATATGATGAGAAAAGGATGCCACGCATATCTAGCATACGTGGTTGATAAAACCAAAGAGGAAACGAACATCGATGATGTGAGGGTGGTTTGTAAATATCCGGATGTCTTCCCTAAAGACCTACCGGGGCTTCCACCTGACAGGGAGATTGAATTTGTGATCGAGGTCGAGCCTGGTACCAAACAAATCTCCATACCGCCATACCGTATGGCACCCGCTGAACTTAACGAGTTGAAAACCCAATTGCAAGAGCTTTTGGATAATGGTTTCATTAGACCCAGCCACTCCCCGTGGGGAGCACCAGTTCTTTTTGTGAAAAAGAAAGACGGGACGCTTCGAATGTGCATTGACTATCGTCAACTGAATAAGGTCACAATCAAGAATAGGTATCCGTTGCCTAGGATTGATGACCTGTTTGATCAACTACGAGGAGCAACCGTGTTTTCAAAGATTGACTTGAGATCGGGGTACCATCAATTGAAGATTAAGGAAGATGACATACCAAAGAGTGCTTTCCGCACAAGGTATGGGCATTTCGAGTTCCTCGTTATGTCGTTTGGGTTAACAAACGCCCCAGCGGCATTCATGGACTTGATGAACCGAGTATTCCATAAATACTTGGATCGATTCGTGAATGTGTTCATAGACGACATCTTGATTTACTCAAAGAGTGAAGAAGAGCATGAGGAGCACTTGATACTTGTTCTTGAGACACTACGGGAGAAGCAACTCTATGCCAAATTTTCTAAATGTAAATTTTGGCTAAAGGAGATTGGCTTCCTCGGGCACGTGGTTTCAGGATCGGGAATTGCTGTTGATAACAAGAAGATAGAAGCCATTACTGAATGGGAGAGGCCAAAGAACGTCAAGGAAATTCGTAGTTTCCTTGGATTGGCAGGCTACTATAGAAAGTTCGTGGAGAAGTTCTCTGTTTTGGCATCGCCATTGACGAAGCTCACTCGTAAAGGAGCTAAGTTTGTATGGGATGACAAATGTGAGAAAGGGTTCATGGAACTAAATAAGAGATTGACTGAGGCACCGGTACTTGCATTACCCAAACAAGGTGTGGGGTACGATGTCTATAGCGATGCGAGCATCCAAGGGCTCGGATGTGTACTGATGCAGAATGGGAGGGTAATCGCCTATGCTTCACGACAATTGAAGAAGCATGAGGTAAACTATCCTACTCATGATTTAGAGCTGGAAGCAGTGGTGTTTGCATTGAAGATTTGGAGACACTATCCCTACGGAGAGCCGTGTCACATATACGCTGATCATAAGAGCTTGAAATACGTGTGTACTCAAAGGGGTTAAACATGAGACGACGACGGTGGATGGAGTTGATAAAGGACTACCATCTAGTTAGTGAGTACCATCCAGGTAAGGCAAACGTTGTAGCAGATGCCCTCAGTCAGAAGAGTTCGTCTGAGGCATTGCTGACTAGTTTGAGGGCATTGAGAGCCCAATTGGATGTATATCCGCCTGTAGAGGTACGTGAGGATGTGAACTACGCTGTGCAACCGATTAAGGTCATTGATAGAAAGGTGAAGAAACTGAGGAGTAAAGAAGTCCCAATGGTTAAAGTCCTTGGAAGAGCGATCGCGTCGAATAAGAGACATAGGAAATAGAGGCTTTGATGAGGGAGTAGTATGCTTCCCTATTTGAGTAGAGTTGCGAATTTCGGGGACGAAATTCCTGTTAAGGGGGGGTGAACTTGTGACACCGCACCCGAACGTCCTTGAAAAACTCAATAAAAAAAAAAAATTAATTTCTATGTATTGAATTTTCGGTTTCCAAACAATTGTAAAACGATTAATGTTTTACGTAGCGCATGATTGATTTTTGTATTGTTCAAACTCGTATATTAGTATCGGGTTTGCAAATACTTATTTGGGCCTTAATAATGAACATAAGAGCCCAACATTATCTAAATAATGTTACATAATCTTTCAAGACAATTTGAGGAAGGTCGGGCGGCCCAAACATTAATTTGGGCCCAACCTGCTAAAAATAGCAAGTATTCGAGAATGGCGTCCTAGACCCACTCGGGAGTGACCCACACGGTTAGTAGCCCAATAATATGTATGAAAAATGTCAAAATAAGTGATAGAATGACTAAGGAAGAATACAAATGCCTATAGCCCCATCTTTGACATTATTGAGCTAAATAATGGGAGTAGGTTTTTCTTCTATAGTATTCATCATGTAAATTATTGGGATGATCCTACACATGGTTGAGACCAATAAAATGATGTAGGGAGTTGACTTGGTCTATATAAATTATAAGGAGTACAAAAAGACATCTCATGACAAGGATAAAACAATAGGGTCCATCTTTTCATTTTGGAAGTATTGGTAGGTATTTTGGACCCCAAATTGAATGGGATCATTTGGGAACCATCCCACATGACCTTGGTACCTGCAAGACAAAGAAAAATGGGTGAGACAACTATGTGGGGCGGACATTTGACTTGAGAGCTACAACATTACAAAAAGGAAATAAAAGAGGAGGTCCACACCATGTTTAATTGCAATCAAACACCCTACCCTTTCTTTTTGTGAACCACATGCTTAGATATCATTTTGAGAGCTCCTAAACACCTCCCCCTCACCCCTCATTCGAACTCCCAAGGATAAGGGAGAAGGAGAGAGCCACACAACCAAGAGAGCAAGAGAAAGGGGAAGCTGCCGCAGGTCCATTTTCCAGTGCGTTGGGTTGCTTGTTTGGTTCATATCTCGAGCTATACTTATCCAAATAAGGCGTGTGAGGTGCCCAAAGAAAGATCTCAAGAAGAGGAATCCGTGAAGGCGTGGTTTGCAGAAAACGGAGTAGTGGAAGACCTCCAAATCGTCCGAACAAAACGCAACCTCGCAGATTACGTTTTTGTATTCAAAGTAAGTTTGAATCCAAAACCTTCCTCTCTATTGTCTAAATCATATGGATGATTGAAGAGCTATTATAAACTTGTTGAAGTGTATAATATGTTATTATATAGTGACTTTATTTGTTGGAAAGGTTAGATACTAACCTAGACAAAACCTTGAAAGGCTAGGGAACGAATTCGCCGGAAAAGCGCCCGTTCTAGGGGCTGTTTTTGTATCGACATTTAGGGGTTGAGATAGCACTTTGAAGAGGCTGTTTAACAATCATATTTAAGCAAGGAATCAGTTCTTAACCCACCTTGACCGAAGCTTTGACCATTGGATCAAGAAGGAAGAGTTTAAAGCTCAATTGAGGTGAGGATCGACATCTAATTGCTTACAACTTGTAGGTTAAGCATGAGATTACCTAAATGCCTAAATCATAATTTTTCATGGATTATGATGATTAAATATTGATGAAATATTGATATGGTTCCCAAAGAATGAAATTGGAAATGATTTGAGGATGTATGTATAATATGAGATTAAATGAGTTATAAATGAACTATTTTGTGAAATAGGAATTTTACTCATGTATTAAACATGTGGATACATAAATGGATATTATGTATTGAAGTGGAATATTTAAGTTGATGCTACATACTTATAAATATGTAGAGAATTACAAAATGAAGATATTTGTATAATGGCAATAATCTTAATAGTATTGAAAATACTAATTAGTGATTATTTGAAATTGTTGATAGAATTGATCCTAAGTATTGGATTGTATGGAATGAACTTGAATGTACTTCAAGTGTATAAAATGACTTAGTATGAAACTAAGGGCATGTTATGGGCGGTCATTGAGAATGACCCGAGGTAGATTATTGAGATGTCAATTCTAGGCATAGGGTTGCTTAGGAATTGGACTATAATGAAGAATTAGAGCCGGACTTTGTGATTTGCATGGAAATGTAGTTGGTCCGAGACCTTGCCATGTAAATTGTGATTTGCATAGAAATGTAGTTGGTCCGAGACCTTGCTATGCAAATGTGATAGGATGTAATTGCGATTTGCATGGAAATGTAGTTGGTCCGAGACCTTGCCATGTAAATTGTGATTTGCATAGAAATGTAGTTGGTCTGAGACCTTGCTATGCAAATGTGATAGAATGTAAATTGTGATTTGCATAGAAATGTAGTTGGTCCGAGACCTTGCTATGCAAATGTGATAGGACGCAAATGTAATATAACGAACTTGACATAAAGGATTGCATAGAAATGTAGTTGGGCCGAGCCCTTGCTATGCGATGGTAATGTAATGAACTCTATGAATTGTCGTGGCTCATGGTCACGGGGAATGGGAATGGCGATTTCTAAATGAACATGGGCCCACGGGCCGACTACTTGACTTTTATATAAAGTAAGTATATTTTCAAACGAGGTAACTTGGGGTTACCACTATATTGTATTATCACCCTATTTGAGGGTCTTGTGTTTGAAATACTTGTTGTATATCCCTTAGATGCCATCCACACCAGCACTTTATAGCCCTATAGAGTGCTGACCCCTTCGGGGGCGTCCCACCACCATTTTTCAGGTTGAGGCTAGAGCTTGCTTCCTGTGCCCGTTGCTCGGGTGATCCTTTGGAGAGAAGACGTGGTTCGTGCTTTCTCCATTCCGTTTTGAACAATATTAAACATGCTCATGGATATTTTACTTTAGAGCCTGCGTGCTCATGAATAGCCCTGTGTGGCCCTTTTGTTTTAAACAATGTTTTCCGCTGCGTTATGAATTACTTATTATGTTTGTTTATGGATGTTATACGTGTGAATGATATTCAAGACGCCTTGTATAATATGAATGTGTTGGACTGCGGTTGACTATTCGTATTGTACGGCGGGTTGTTGACGTGTCCGGGGAGGTCCGGGGCGTGACAATATATATAAAGTAAGTATACTTTCAAAAGAGGGTAACCACGGGTTATGACCTATAATATAATAACATCCTAGATTGAGGGTCTTGGAAATTGAAACTTTGATTATACTTAGTATAGTTGTCATTGTACTTGTCAAATGCTTCCAAGTACTGACCTCCCCTTCACGGGGGAGGCCACCTCACAGTTTCAGGTAGAACTTGAAGGGTGCTACCATCACCGTTGCTTCGGGCGGATTATCAAGGAGAGGAGACGTGGTTCGTGCTTCCTCCGTTTCTGTTTTAAAACATTCAAATTAATGCTCATGGATACTATTTTCCGAATAATTATTTAGGGCTTGCACGCCCGTGTTTGCCACGTGTGGCTCGAATGCTTGTATTAATATTTCCGCTGCTTAATTAAATGATTTACATTGTGATTGTTTATGGATGTACTAATGTGAATGGTATTCAAGACGCCTTGTATAGTATGGATGAGTTGGACTGCGGTTGACTATTCGTACTGTACGGCGGGTTGTTGACGTGTCCGGGAAGATCCGGGGCGTGACAAGTATGACAAGTAGGAAAGTAATTAGTACGACAAATACCAGAACTGAGATTACACGATACCGAACCTGAGACACCATTGTATGGAAACCACGAGCAACAGGAACTGTCTATCCAGAGGTGGCACCATAAGGTGGTTGTCCACCAAAAGGCTGCGGTTGGTGCTGCTAGAAATATCCGCGACCACGACCTCGACCACCCGTGCCACGAGAGGCGCCACCATGCACTCCCTCTGCCAGAAGATGCTGATGAGATGGACAGGGCGCCCGCGAAAATTGGCCGCAACATGTCCAATGTAGCATTCCCCGGAAAGTAAGATATAGCCGTGATGAGGGACTCATACTCAGGAACCAAGCCAAGTATAGCATACTCGATAAAGTCCTGACTGCTGACCGCGGAATTTATAGGCATACTAATTTATGTGCATTTAATAATAGTTATACTGTGGGAGCAACCCATTGTGAGTATGGTGCTCCCACAGCTAAAACACGCGTGGACAGTAACTTTTGTTGTCACAGTAGTTGAGTGATATAACTCGTTTGTAAGGAAATGTAACTCACGTTGATATGAAATGCAATTGTATGCAAGTCGAAATGTAACTTGTCTAATATGAAGAAGAAATAAAACAAATTTCAATGTAAATAATGTAAAAAAGGAGTCTAGTTACTCAATTAATTTACGTAAATAGTGAATATGTTTTGTTTTTAATATTAAGGCCGTAAAAATGTTTAAAGAAATCATTTTTTATTTGCCAAAAAAATCATTTTTCCCTGAAAAAAATGATATCTTTGTTTCAATAGCAGGAGTTTGTTTTGTGATGTAACTCGTGTTATGGAAAAGTAACTCGCGTTAATGGAAAATATAACTTAGGTGTTTGCAACGTGTAACTCGTTGAGGCAAGTCCAAATGTAGCCCGCATATAAAAAGATGTAACTCACGCACAATAAGACGTAACTCGCGCATAAGAAGATCCAACTCGCACATTTTAAGAAGATGCAACTCGCGCATAAGAAGATTTAACTCGCGTATAAAAAGGCTTAAATTCGTATACTATCACATGTAATTTCATAAATTGTCTATAGATATAACTCACACATATGAAAAATGTTATGTAATCTCATGTTTTATCAAATTTGTATTAAAATGAACAAATTTAATGTCTTAAAAACACTAAAAACGTGTAAAAGAGATAAGAAATATATTATACAAAAAAGTGTATGGATATGAAAAATATATTACAAAACAATGTACAAATGTAAGAAAATATTACGCAAAAATGAATTCGGTAGTAATATCAGTTGAAGAAAAAAAGTAAATAAATAGTGTATGATTATGAAGGAAAATGTCACATCATCTCACATGCTGCATAGGATTGGGGATGCTTGATAAGTCCGTATTTAGACACGCATTTGATGCGTGTCCGGGTCGGATTTTGATGGTTTTCCTGGCTTTAAGGCGTTGCAAGTCTCAATCTTGGCTCAAGTTGTGTTTAGCAGGTGTTGGATCGAGTTTCATTGCATTTGGAGTTGATTTGAAGAAGTTAGAGACCGACATCGGCGCTTAGAGAAGCAATCGGGAAGAGTTGGAGAACATTCGAGAGAGATTTGAGAGTTTTGGAGGCCACCAGAAGGTTCACGGCGAAGATTTGATGAAGAAGCGGCCTTTGGATTGATTAAAGAAGTATCCGGGAGCAAACGGGAAAGAAAATAGCAAGAAAACGGTTCTAGAGCAATCCGCGCGCCCCGCGGTGCGGTTCCGCACGCCCCACGGGTGATTCTGAGAGCAAGAATTTAAGAAGTCTGAACCGCACTATGTGCGGCCGAAACCGCACACCGCGCGGTCGAAACCGCACACCGCGCGGCCGAAACCGCACACCGCGCGGTCCAGAAATAGCCCCCAGAAATACCCGCGCGGTTGCATAGTGCGGGCGGAGCGAAAGTCGGAAGACGGAAAAACGCGCGCGTGACCGCGCGGTGACCCGCACTACGTGCGGACGACCGCGCGGCCTGATTTTCGGCCCGTTTTCGGATTTTTCTATAAATAAGCCCCTGTTTTGCCTGTTTTCGGGGGATGAGCTTAGAGAGATAAACCCTATTTCGATTTTTGAGAGCTTTTCAAGCCTTGTTCTTCAAGATTAAGGGATTCTTTGTAAGTTCTATCTTTTTAATTAATGACGATTATTTCTATTCATCCCAATTCTGTTGATTCTTCAATTATGAATTGTGAGTAGTTTAATTAGGGATTTGGGATTGATGAAGGGGTTAATCATGATTGATGGCTAGATTCTTGTCGGTTTAATTGCATGAATGCCGTTTAATTTGTGTTTGAATAATTTAACTGATATCTTTTGTAACCTGGAACCGCGGCTAGAATTACAATTGCATGTAGAATGAATTAAGAGAGATCTAATTTATTCTAGGACACCTTCACACACACTTAATCGTTCGCTAAGAGATTAGTAGCGATTAAGGAGCCGTAAGCTCGCTCATCTTGGCAATAATTTAGGATCCTGTCGCATGAGAGATCAGCCTGGTCCCCTAAATTATTGTACTCTACGCCGCGAGAGCGGTAAGAACTTAGTAATGATTAGCTAGGTTCAATTAAATTAAATTCATGTAATTAGGCCTGTTCTGCCAGAAATCTGATTACCCCGGAATCAATCCCTGTTCCCTTCGTCATTAATTAGAAAGAACCTCCTAGTTTAATTGTTCGTATTAGTTTTATTTTCCAAACCAACCAATCTCGCACGACGCTTTTATTTTATTTTCTTTTTAATCGCTGAATTTAATTAATTCTTGATTCCCTTTTGTCCGTCCCTGTGGAGACGATACTCGTACTTTCAACCACTTTACTACATCATTTTTAAGTGCGAGAAAACACACATCAGTTTTTGGCGCCGTTGCCGGGGACGGTGTCGGTTTTAAGGGTTAATTAATTTGAGCGAGATTTTTTTTTTTAGCTAGTTTTTTTTTTGTTCTTCGTAGGATTTTTTCTGTGCTAACCTTTCAGGTATTTTTCAAAGAGGCATGAGATGAACCCATTCAGCCAAATTCCTGGAGGAAGTCCTTTTCCCCAAACCTCCATGGAATTTTCACCATATACGTCATACCTTCCTTACACTCCTCCTCCTCCTCCTCAATATTACTCATCTCATCAAAATTATTCTCCTACACCACAAAATTTCTCATCTTCCTATTCTTACCCTCTTCCAAATACGCAATACTCTCAATCTCATTCTCCTAATCAATATCCTTATCCACAATATCCTCGGACAAAACCAGGCTCCATTATGGAATTTCTCATTCAAACTAAAAGTCCCGAGGAATTGGTTGATTACTTTCCTAAAAATAGCATTTGTAACTTCTGTGGAGGTGGTCACCATTCATGTCTTTGCCCCATTCCTCCATACGACCATCCTTACTGGGCAACTGCATACCCCACTTCGTCCTCCCCACAACTTACAAACACAAATGTTTCAATCACTCCTGCGTCTTTGCCGAGCTATGAGCCACAAGATTCAGACGACGAATGGGAAGAGATAATTTCAGAGAAGTTGTCTGACCTGGAAGAAACACTCAAGCAATTCATACAAGCTTCTGAGGTAAATAATCAACAAGCAAGTGCAAGGATGCAAAACATGGAAAATCACTTGGATCAGCTGTTTAAGGCTTTATCTGAGGAGTCCGAGAGATCCCATCCTAGCGACACAGAAGCCCAACCTGAGGAGACCAATAGGGATGATCATGTGATTGAGTCAGACTATGATGGTGGAAATATGATGGATGATACACTTCCTGATGCTTTTGAAGACCCTCCTATGTTTGAAGATGAAGAAGAAGATAATAGTGCGAAGTTGTTTTTGCAAGAATACAAGAAAAAGTTTGAAACGGTACAAGCTGTAACTGATGAAGTCACAAATCACTGTGATCTTCATACAGAAACTCCCCAGCCGTTTTATTTACCATTAGTCTCAACACCTGAGGATGGCAAGGAGCAGATTAGTCATGACATTGATGCAGCCACTGAGGTAGGTTTGGGTACTAAAGATGAGTTGGGAAAAGATGATCACATGCTTCAAGAGAGTGGGGGCGAGGTAGATGATGTCCCTAACGAAGAAGTGCCGCTCCACAATTTCTTGGAGGATATTAATAAGAAGAGTGAGAAAACGAATTGGGATGCATTCTTGGAGAGTGATAGCGAGTCAAGAGGAGGTGCTCAGAATTTTCATGGTACATTCGAGCAAGGAAAGGAGGCGTTTGTGATACATTTTGAACATGAGGATGAGAGGTTCATACTTCACTTTTGTGCTAATAAGGGTTATGAAGACCATGCGCTTCCTACGTGTTTTCAAGAATTTAAGAATCTGCGTCATCTAATGGCATTTGTTGAGAGGAAGCTGGAGATGTTGACTATTAGTGCACCACTGATGTCTTTGCTATTTGAGAGCATATGAGGAAGTTGCGTCGGGCAAACGACGTTAAAAATAGCGCTTCTCGGGAGGCAACCCGAGCTTATTTCTGCTTTTGTTTTTGTTTTTGCTTTTTTGTGTTTGTGTTTTTTGTGTCTGTTTTTGCAGCTCAGGGTCTTGCTTTGGGGATGATGTGCCGAGGATCACTTGACTGAGTTTAGTTCTGCACCGACCAGCGCGATAGGGAAGTTTCCATGATTCTATTTATTCGATGCGTAATGTTAACTTGAGTTGATTTTGAGCACGCGTGACCCTTTCCTCTTTACCCCTAATACATAATGCATATTTGGTCATCGAGGACGATGCCAAAGTTTAAGTGTGGGGGAGTGAATTGGGCATTCGGGCAGTAGTTGTTATATGTGATTTATTAGAGTTAGCATGCGCAGGTGTTAGTTGTATATTCATAGGAAATTCATGCAAAATTTTTGAAAATTTTTCTTTAAACTGTGTCTTTGTGAGCTGGCTAGCGTTTTGACTATACTTTTAGAACATCCTTGAAGTGTTTAGGCTTAAATTGCTTGCACTATAATCTAGTTGTTGAAAGGATGAAGGCATTAGTCACCCATTGAATTAATCCATTAATCATCCACCCCACCTGAAAAAGTCCTTTAGGAAAAGCCATTTTGAGCCGACCATTCTTTGTTTACCCAATTAATTTAGCTCCATAGCCAAATGGCCTGTTTTCTTTACCCGTGAATATTTCTGACTTAGTCTTGATGTTTAGGGAATTAGGGGATTAATTTGCTAAGTTTAGGGAATTTGTGTAGGAGCCATTTTTTGGCACTGTTCCTATGCCCCAAATAGGGTAAGAGCAGTCACTTTTTAGGAATTTGATATTTTCGAGGATTGCATTGTAGGCATGGATTCACCTTACACTACTAGAAAAATGCTCTATAGTGACACTAAATTAGTGTCACTAAAAAATTTAGTGACACTTAAAAAGTGTCAACGAATGGTGGGAGTTGTGACACTATGTAACACTGCCCCCAAGTATTTGTACTTTATCAAATTATGTATTGAACCCT